ATCGGCCCTGCGGGCGGGGCGGGGGCTGCTGTCCGCAGCTCCATCACCCCTGGGTTTGTCCCACCACTGCTGTGGGGTTGCAGAGGTGACGGTGACGTCTCCAGCTCGTGCACCCCTGGGGACGTGCTTTCCCCTTCTCTGGGAGATCTGGGGCGGGGGGGTGGGGGGGTGGTCAGCCATCCCCCCTCCCTGCCAACGCCGGCCTTCGCTCACTTCAGTTTCCCAACGGCGGGATCCCGTAGGCGCCGAGCGGGAGCCGAGCTGCCGCTGGAGTGGGTGGCACCGCGTAGGCTTGAGCCGAATGATGAGACTGCAGAGGGAGAAGGGGGGGGATTTAGCTCCTCTCCCTGTCAAAACCATCTCTGGGGAAATCTCCAGAGCGCTCCTGGCTTCTTTTTTTTGATGTATCCCCCCCCCTCGGAGGATCCTGCTGGGGATCTCTAAGCCCTGAAGGATGTCGCCTCTGCAGGCAGAGCCTTCCTCGAGGCTGGGAGGGCTCGGACGCGTCTCAGATCTCACCTGGTGGCCTCATTCCCTGCCTAGTGAGTCGGCGGGGGGCTGCTCATCACCTTTGGAGGGGGGGTGAAACTGATGCCTAAAGGGCTCCTCCACAAGCTGGAGAGCCCGGAGGCGTCTTGTGAGAGAGCAGTGATCCGCCGCTACCGGGAGATCTGCAGGATCCTGCTCCAGCCGGGCCAGAAAATCCACGCTAAGCTCCAGCAGAATATCTTTACGCCTCGATTCGGCACCTCTAAAATTAGCTGGAGACATCTCGGTGTCACACACACCAAGCTGCTCCTGTAATCCCGGTTCCTCCCAGCAGCTTCTGCTCTGACACACATTTGTCTTTGAGATTTTCTTTTTAACCCCTAAGTTCCTGCAGGAGGAGAGACCCTCCGATGGCAGAGGGCTTCCAAAATCCATTTCCCCAGCCCGGCTCCGCGGTGGGGAAGCTTTCCCTCGTTGCCTGTCCATCCCCACCAGTTGTTGGCCACTCATCCCGCCTCTTTGCGAAGGTCTCGAGGTCTTCATAGGGGTCGTGAAAGACAAACGCCGTCCTCTTCTTCCAGGCCCTTCTGGGACGTGGACAACTGTCCTGGACCCTATGGATCGAGGCGGTCCCTACGCGCTGACGGCCGGGCAGGGCTCTGAGAACCTGAGGCTGCGGGACATCTACTTTGGGGACGTGTGGCTTTGCAGCGGGCAGAGCAACATGGCAATGACGGTCTTGCAGGTAAGCCCCCACGGCGTGGCCTGATCCTGCCAGCTCAAGCAGGGATCAGGCAGGGAAACGCCTCGTGCGCTCCTCGACCCTTCCCTAGATCACCAACGCCAGCCAGGAGCTCGCCGCCGCCGCTCGTTATCCCTACGTCCGCGTCTTCGCTGCAGCACCTGCCCGCTCCGACGTGGAGCTGGAGGACCTGGAGCGAATCGACTTGCCGTGGTCCATCCCGACGGCCGGTGAGCGCAACGTGCCTCCAAATAAAAAGCCTGGAAATGGCTTTCCCGCCCCCCTTCCCCCCCGGCCTTTTTTCCCTTTGCAGCCCGCTGTTTCTTGGACAGAAAACCTGGGCCATGGGAATTTCACCTACTTCTCGGCCGTCTGCTGGCTGTTGGGGCGCTACCTCTACGAGGCTCTGCGGTACCCCGTCGGGCTGGTGGAGGCGGCCTGGGGGGGCACCCCCATCGAGGCCTGGTCCTCCCGAAGGGCTCTGTGGGCGTGCGGGCTCCCGGAGGACGCGGGGAGGTGAGAGAAGACGCAGTGGAAACACCTCCTGCCCCATGCCACGCCACTCCCGGGGTGGGGGGGGGCATCCTCCATCCCTTTCCCTCCCACCTCCTCTCCCGAAGCGTTCCCGGAGCCCCGCTGCGCCCTCCATGCATCGTTTTGCCCCCTCTGGGTAAAATCCCCTCCCGTGCCGAGAGCGTAGGGCACATCTCGGCAGGTAAAGGGGGCAGCGGGGGGGAGAGGGGGACCCCAGGGCTCCCCTTTTGCGCGGAGCTTGCTTTAACCGTGC